AAAAAAAAAAAAAAAAAAAAAGATGCCACTGTCACCATGGATCTACAGTGACAGAGATCGGCAGGTCACAAGACCTTGGAAACCCCTGGCCTGCTCTGTCCTCATCCTGGATGCCTTCTATCTGAAGGAACACTCTTTTGGGTATTTGGCCCTGCCACCAAGGGCAGTGAGGCCTTCAGTATTTGCTTATGTGCAAGAGCCTAATCCAAGTAGGAAGAAAATAACTTTCTTTTGTTTTTTTGGTATGGGGGATTGAACTCGGGACCTTGCACTTGCGAGGCAGGCAGTGGCATCACTGAACTAAATCCCTGGCCCAAGAAAATAACTTTCTGCTCACAAAACCAGGGAGTGCTTCTAAGTCTTTCTTCAGAAGGACACATTTTACCAAATTCAACCAAGCCAAATGTTCTAACTAGGAAACAGAAGAAATGGAAAAGGATGTCTCTTCACCACTGATTTCTAAATGTAATATTAATTAACAAAAATTTTGGGAACAACTCTTACTTGTGCTGGGACTAGAAGAGGAGTAAAGGCCTCAATCTTGTAATGTTCCTTGAGTTTGCTGCCAAGTTCTTCTATCTTCCAGGTCAGAACTGCAATCCAAGAGGTGAAAAAGTGTTGTGTTTAAGACATTTTACTTGTGAAGAAGAGAAAATACAGCATGTGGTAAAATATCACACAGTCATGTTACAGGGCAGAGGTGGTGCGAGTTGAAACCTTCTAAAGCCTTAGTTGGTTTCCCCATATTTAGTGGCTAAATTTGGTTTCCACTTGGCCACAGGAGATCATGCTACGCAGTCCAGGGGAGTCAGCCCTGTGCCTTCCCTTAACTCAGGTCACCACACGCATTTTGGGGAAGTCAAAGATGAACTGGAGAGGGCTTAAGGAACAAGCTATAAAATGTCCTTAATGTTAGGTTGACTCCCTTCAAATAGTTCAAGTTTTCATTACTGGGACTGTTATGTGCTTTTTCTTCAGCAAAGTGATGGGACTCAGGAGGATCACTGCCAGGGTCCCCCACTGTCCCTCACTGACTAAGAATGCACGAGGACACCGAGCAACCTACAACCTATGGATTCAAAGGCAGCCTTGGACCTGGCTACTTACTCTAATACTTCCAGGGGGTTTTACAGCCAACATAATTTCAAAGGGAACAGCAATCACCTTCTCGGATGTCTGGGAGCTTCTGAAACATGGATTTGTAGCTGCTAGTCAGAGGCTCCGGATACCCCACCACCTTCAGGCTGATGTTTCCAGCTCCTCCTCTCCCCGACCAAGACACCCCCTGTGCTGAGCCGAAGGTGGTAACCACCTCTCCTCGGTTATTTCTTGAGTTGTATTTCTGGGAGGGAGTAGCGCTAATTAGAAGCAAAACAGATTAATATTATTGTGTTCATAGCTAAAGAGAGAGAGGAACAAAATAAAGTTACCATTTGGAAAGAAGGAGTGGAGAAAAAGCAATATGGCTTAATAAATCTGGTCAGCATAATGAGATCGGACAGACTGGGACCCTTCAGGAATTTCAGGAATGAAAGGCTGAGGAATACCAGGCCAAAGAGGAATACCAAACGTGTTTAGAGAGTGTAAAGACAGGAACATGTTTAAAAAGGTTGTCATTCTCTTGGCATTACAACTAAACAAAGACACACAAAACCTAAACTCTGAATGGAATGAAAAGCAAGCTTCAAGTATAATTTTTCTTTCTTCTTATGAAATGCCAACATTAGGACACCACCTGAGCCTAGAATTGTGGATAAATTAAAAGTGTCTAAGCACATATAAAATTCACAAAATAGTTCAAGATAGAAACAAGGAAATGAAGTTAAAATCAATCAACCCTCCTCAGGCTGGAGGTGGGGATGTGATGAATTCACAGCCAGCGAGTGACCAAACATTCCCGTGCACTGAGGCTCAACCGACAAGGCCTCCTATTTCCATTGCCTCGCGAGTGAATTACACCGCCAGGAACACATGGCTGCCGCTGACTTGCCTGGCTGCCTCTAATCCTTCGCTTGTGAACATCGTGTACAGAGAGGTCTATTTAAAAGATGCTTCCTTTAATGTGTGAAACTCTGCAGAACCAGTTCCATGCGGGGCACCGCTGCAACTGACGCCACCCTTCCTTCTTTCCAGACGGAGGCTCCAGAAAGTGAGCTCAGCTAATTATCTCTATCTCCAGAGCTGCCTCTACTGAGTAATTTACACGTTACTTCATAAATCACAAAACCAGTTTCTGATGTCAGCTTTATTAGTGTACATTAAAAAATGACGAGCTCGCTTCGGCAGCACATATACTAAAAAAATGACAAGGCTGCATAGCGCCGACTTCTCTGAGCTCCTCCCTGTGAGGCTCCATGGGACGGTGAGCCCTTTAACGCAATCGGATGCTCAGGGGCCCAGTGTAAACAGATCTGCAGGTTGCAGAGGATCTTGGGTTCAGAAAGTGTCACCCCTGTAATGGTGACGCCATACCTAAGAGACCCACTACTATTCACTGTCTTTCAAAGATGCCCTCAGTTGCCAGGTATGGAGCAAACGCCTGCAATCTCAGCACTCAGGGGACTGAGGCAGGAGCATTGCTGTGAGTTTCATTGAGGCCAATCTGGGATACCTAGTGAGTTCCAGGCCAGCCTGCACTACGTAGCAAGACCCAGTCTCAAAAAACCAAACCAAAACAACAAAGCACCCTCCAAAACAAAGATGCTCTCAGGAATCTAGAAAGCTGTCTTCAGAAAGCAATTTGAAATCTCTCTAAAGCAGTAGTGGATCAGAGTAAATCAAACGGTTCTTCAAAATCCACTGATCAAAGCTGGGCGTGGTGGGGCACAGCTGTAATCCTAGCACTCTGGAGGCTGAGGCAGGAGGATCACTGTTAGATCAAGACCAGCCTGGACTACATAGTAAGCTCAAGGCCAGCCTGAACTACATACCGAGACCCTGTCTCAAAAAAACAAAAACAAAACAAACAAAAATGCACTGACCACTCATCTTGAATGAGTATAGAGCTTCTGTCACTGTCTTTGTAAGGTGATACAGCTGAAAAACTTCTGGTTAAGATAGTCTAGAAATGACTCCTGGAAGTTAGTCTGTTTAATGGTTAACATCGCTGGTACTGATATGGCAGGACCTGTAAACACTTCTTCTTGGCCAAACACCAATATGGGATTCTCTAACATAAGACGTATCATTTACAGATTAAAAAAAAAAAATCACCAATTATATGCAGTAGTGAGCTGGAATAAAATATCAATTAAGCCAGTGTAGATTCAGTGACAAGAAAGCTCTCAAAACCTAGTCGTAACCCGAGTGAAGAAAAAGAAACAGGTTACACAACATTAGGAACAAAGATGTGTAGTTTTCTTTAAAAACAAAACAAAACAAAACAAAACCTTCAAATTTTGAAAAGGAGAAAGAAACCCAATAAAGCACGAATTAACAGAAGCGGGTGAAAGTCTCTTTCACCTCACAGGCAACACTCACATGACTCCTAGGCTTCTGAATAGACAGGTTGTTTTGAATAAAAGATATCAGCGCCTGATATAGGAAATCAAGCCTAGAAAAGTGGGTGGAAGGTGGGTTTCTTTAATTACTGTACAAAACAGTAATTCTCCACAAAGGAAGAGAAAGCTGGGAAGCCAGAGGGTGACAGGCTTTCCAGCCAATTCACCCGGAACCCACCTCCTCCTGGTTAATGAGTTACTCTGAAGTCAGCCCATCAGCCAGCCAGGGAGCAGGGGCTGCACAGGCCCAGAGTTGATGATGATCCCTACCTTGGAGAGAAACTTGAGGGTGAGAGGAGCTGATGCGGGCTGGGGACAGACACACTCCTCTTCGTTCTAGGAGTCTCTGGGGTAGTAATAGCTCGCTTCTGAGAACCCTAGAAACAAACAAGACAAAGTCCCAGTCACTTTGGACCCAAGTTGCTAATGAAGGGTGAAGTTCCTTAGGAGGAAGAGGTCAAATGGCACCCAAATGAAAGGCACAGGACAGGACTGGGTTGGTTCTCTTAAGGCCCCCATCTTGCAAGCATAACCCTGGAAAAAAATCTTCAACTACAGTCCAGTATTCATCAACTTACTCTCCTGATTTGAAGGCAATAATGAAAAAAGCAATCATTTCCCAAAAAGGATCACCAGGTAGGCACTGTCCTGACCAATCTCACACATGCTCACATTCTGCCCCTCTCTGCTTCAGAACAGATCTGGTTTCAAAAGGCATATGGCTCTGACCTGTGTGCACATATTTTTCCCTGAGAAGGGATGGGACCACGTTACACTTCTTTTGGCCAAGTCTACCACACATTTTCCAAATTAAATACGGGAATGACTCCAGGCAGATAACACAGTTGAGCTCATACTTGGAGAATAGTTAGTGAACACCTCACTGCTGGTCACTTCTGGGGTTTTTGGCTCAGCAACAAGAATCCCAAGATAAGCCCAGCACAGAGGATGAAATCCAGAGACTCAGGCCTTCTCCAAGTCTAGGATAATAGTAACAGGAAACACAAAAAATCCTTGCCTTTGCAGAACCTTTTTCTACCCAAGAGCTCCCCCTCACGGCAGGTTTAAGCTATGCCACCATGTGCCCACAGGCAGACCCTGTGGGACATACTCAAAAACCACTATGAAGGAGCTGCAATGGACACTAGATATTTATTTATTTATTTATTTATTTATTTATTTTGGTTTTTTGAGGCAGAGTCTCACTATGTAGTTGAGACTGACCTGGAACTTACTATGTAGCCCAGGCTGGTTTTGAATTCACAGTGATCCTCCTGCCTCAGCCTCCCAAGTGCTGGGATTACAGGCGTGTACCACCATGCCCAGCTGGAAACTAGATTTTTAAAAAACACTCTTCTGCTACTTCCTTTATATAGTAACCATCTTTTAATATTGACATTATTTCAATATTTTTCCAGTTTTAAAAGGATACAAACTGTAGTAGCTATAATCTAGTTTAAATGTAAAACTGAAGTACAGTGGTACCTTGGTTCACAAATTTAATTCTTTCCAGAGAAACCAAAATCAATTTTCCCATAAGGTGAACATTGAATCTAACCATTGAATTTGATTTTGTTCCTGTCCAATTCAGTTCATGCTGTTAGCTGTGAACACATTTCCTTGTTACAATCTTTAAGCTTTTTTTGTTTTGTTTTGTTTTGTTTTTTTGAGACAGGGTCTCACTATGTAGTTCAGACTGCCCTGGAACTATGTAACCCAGGGCTGGTCTCGAACTCACAGCGATCCTCCTGCCTCAGCCTTCTAACTGTTGGGATTTTAGGCATGTGCCAGCATGTCTGGCTTATAATCGTTATACTTTTTAGTAGTTATTTGACTGTTGCATAAGAATTTATCTAACTACTTCTCTGCTGCTGGGTTACAGTTATTTGTGATTTTGGTGATTATAAATAATGCTGAAATGCATATCCTCGTGCAGACAATTTATCCTCATAATTTGGATTTCCTCAGGTGAGTTTTTTTTTTTTTTTTTTTGGTACTGGGGATCAAACTCAGGACCTTGTGCTTGCAAGGCATCCACAGTGCCACTAAACTAAATCCCTGGTCCTCAGAAGAGAACTTTCTAGAGGCACTGGGGCCAGAACCCAGGGCACCGTGTATGCTAAGCATGAAATCTACCACTGCAGTACAGCCCCAAGTCCCCTCAGGAGAGATTCTTATTAGAAAGAATTATTGCATCTTATGGTTTTTATAATTTTCTCAAACTGTTTCTTGAAAAGGTTCTTCTAATAAATAGGAGTAGCTGAACAACTACTGAGGGGCAGGCAACAGGGAGACAGCAGCAAAGTACAGTCTCTGCCCTCCAGGACCCTCCACGGACCAAACAGAGAAGTGGGTATGAAGCTGGCTGCTGTCCCCGATCCTTGTGCAGCAAAATAAACCAAGGAAGAGGCAGCCGAGGAGAGCCGAGTTTGCCCCAACAAGGTGGCTACAGGCCTGGCCTGTCTGAAGACAGCAAGGAGGCCGGTGTGACAGAGCAGAGGAGGGGTGAAGAGAAGTAGTGAGTGCAGAATGAGCTCAGCCAGACCCCATGTACTCTGGAGCAGGATGCGAATTGTGAGCAGGGAGGTGTATATTTTGTTTTATGGGTTTTTTGAGGGGAAAGATGGAGTTTGGAGTCAGTTCTCACTCTGCCCAGCACAGGCTGGCTTTGAACTCACTGTGGAGCCCAGGCTGATCTCGAACTTGTGGCAACTCTCCTACCTCAGCCTCCTGAGTGGTGGGCTCACAGGTGTGTGCCACCATGCCCAGCGATATTTTTTAAAATGCTACCAGTAGAATTCAATCTTCAAACACTGTCTATTTACCTTAGAGGGTGTCGTGTAAGAGTTCAAAAGAATCTCCTCTTCTTCCTCAACTTCAATTCTAAAAATATTAGTTAAGGAAAACAGTATGAACCTAAGGCATGGGATGATTAAATAAGAAATATGAATATGAAGTAATCTTTATCATTTCTTTTAAAATAATAAAAAAGCAACTGTAGAAAAACAATTATAACACAATATGTAGCTTGGTGCATAGGTCACCAGCAGAAAAGGATACAGCTCTTGGATAGAAATAATGTCTCTAGCTCCTGCATGTCCACTGTCCTTGGTGGCACTGGGCCATGTTTTGGACAATCTCTTGCTCAAAATCTGAGAAAGAGAAGAGAGTGAATATATTATTCCATAGTCTGGTCATAGGGAGGCATTCTCCACAGCTTTGAGATAACAGCAGGCACTCAAAGTATAATCAAAAATAACAATTCTTTCTTTCTTTTTTTTTTTTTTGGTTTTTTTGAGACAGGGTCTCACTACGTAGTTGAGACTGACCTGGAACTCACTATGTAGCCCAGGCTGGTCTCGAACTCACAGCGATCCTCCTGCCTCAGCCTCCTGAGTGCTGGAATTACAGGCGTGCACCACCACGCCCAGCTTGAAAATAATAATTCTAATAACTCCAGTTACTTGGTCAAGAGCTACCACTTACTGGGCACAGCTCTATATTCATTCTAATTATGAGAACAATCATAAAAATATAGATTGCTAGAACCCTTGACAGACAGGCTCGTTTGTCCAAGCTCACATTGGGCCTGAATCTAGGTCTGGTTCCTAGGCCCACATATCGCACACCTCCCTTATCAGCTGCTTTGTCCTGTTCTTACCTCATGCTCAAATGTCTTCAGGATCTCTGAGGTAAGGGAAGCTTTGCCTGTGCTGGTGCAGAAAGCTATCAGCTCGCCTACCACTCCTTCCTCGTTCTGCCCATACAGAATACAAAGCTCTGCCACTGTAGGAAGGGAAATTGGACAAGTAAGGCCTTGCTCTCATTTCTTCAGCTTTCATCCTGAGAAGCAAAAAATAATTCTCTATTTATCCAATCAATATTTACTCAGCATTTACTAGTGCCAGGCATTATTCTAGACTCTGGGAATACAGTAGCAAACAGAGAACAATCCATGTTCATAGGAAGCTTACTATTGTGGGAGACAAAACAAACAAAATATATAGTATATTAGATAATGAAATGTGCTATGTAGAAAAATTAAGCAGCAAGGTGGGTGTTTGTGGTGCAGCCTGTAATCCCAGCATTGAAGAGGCTGAGGCAGGAGGATCACTGCAAGTTCGAGACCAGTCTGAGCTACATGGTGAGTTCAAGGATGGCCTGAACTGAACAGTGAGACCCTGTCTCAAAAAACAACAAACCAACAAAAAAAGAAACAACAAAAAAGAAAGCTGGGAGAGGAATTAGGAAGCTGGGAAATGCTTAGCAACTTTAAATACAGTGATTAAGGAAAGCCTCTGTGAGAAGGTGACATCTGAGAACTTGAAGGAAGGGAAAGAGTGAGCCAAGCAGTGTTTAGAGAAAGAGCTTCCAGGGTCTGGGATTTTAGCTCAGTGGCACGTATCTGCATGGCAAGCACAAGGTCCTGAGTTAGATTTCCGGTAGCCCCCCCAAAAAAAGCAAGAGAAAGAACTTCCAGGTAGAGAAAGAGTGCAAGGGAGGCACAGGATCAACAAGGCCACGGTGGCTGGAGTGCAGTGAGCTGGAAACAAGAGGGGCTGGAAGGGTGGAGGGGTGCAGATTGCTGGTCACTATATTCACCTTGGCCAGCACTCTACACAACATAGAGAACTTCTAGTGTTTTGGACAGAACAGACAGGGCAATCTGATCTCCACTGAACAGGATCCTTGGCTGCTGTGTTAGGCACAGAATGAAGGGGATGGGGCAGAATACACAGGAGCAATGAGAAGAATTTTAGCAGGATCAGGGGAGAGATGACAGAGGTCAAGATGGTGGAAGTGGGGGTGGTGAGAGGTCACAGGACTCTCAATAGGACACATGCTGAGGGTAAAGCCAGGGGATTTGTGACTGAGAAAAACAGAAGTTGAAGGTGATGCTGATGTTTTTGGCTTGATCATCTACAAGGCTGGGGTTCTATTACATGAGATGAAGGAAAGAGTTGGAGGAGCTACTCTGAGGAGAGGGAAGAGCTTTAGATCTACACTCTGAGATGCCAGTTCAACTGGAGATATGAAGTAGGCAGTTAGACAGACCAGCCTGTACTCAAGACAGCAGTCTAGGCTGAGACAGAAATTTGGAGATCTCAGCAGATACGTGGGATATAAAGCCAGGTGAGATCATCAATCTGGCAAGAAGCGATCTCAGACCCGAGCTTTGGGGCACTCAGACATTAGGATGAGGATGAATCTGCAAAGCCTGAGAAGTGGTGATAAAACAGGGCTGATGCATAACTAGAAATGGTGGCAGAGTTGGGCGTCGTGGTACACATCTGTAATCCCAGCACTTGGGAGGCTGAGGCAGGAGGATTCGCTGTGAGTTCAAGACCAGCCTGGGCTACATAGTGAGTTCCAGGTCAGTCCCAACTACATAGTGAGACCCTGTCTCAAAAAACCAAAAAAAATGATGGACAGTGTCAGATGCTGCTAATAAAGCAGGGGGAAGCCTGAAAATTTGTCTCTGACCTTGACAAGGTGACAGTCACTAGTTACCTTGATAGCTAGCAGTTTCAGTGAATTGATAGGGGGCAAAAAAGTTTATTGAAAGGGATTTAATGAGGAAACATGTGATGACAAGTGTAGACAATTCTTTTGCTGTAATTGGGAAGCAGAGAATGCCAGGGAAAGTGTGTCAACTGAGAAATTTTAAAGGCAGGAGCAAGAACCACATTTCTATACTATTTAAGGAAAAGAAAATCCTTTTTTTCTTTTTCCTCTGGTACTGGGGATTCAACTCCCCAGGCACACCAATACTGAGCTAAATCCCTGGCCCGTAGGAAAAAAAATCTTGGAGAGAGAAAAGTAGAAATATCTAAGAGAGACTTACTGGAGTGATGTCCTGAGGTAGGTGAGAAGAAATGACATTTAAGGACTCGGGTGGAAGGTTTGGCTTTTGCCAGGAGTTACTGAACTTCATTGCAGTAAAAGTCTAGGTGCTATATTTGCCACACATGCAGACTGTTGAGAGTAATGTTGGTAGCTGATGGAAGCTTCCTCCTAATGCTTCTGTTTTTCTCAGGATGTTAAAGGGGGAAAAGGAAAGAAGAAAAGAAAGAAGGAAGGAAGGAAGGAAGGAAGGAAGGAAGGAAGAAAGAAAGAAAGAAAGAAAGGGCACGTAGCAGATGCAGAGTGAATAGACCAGGAAAATATGACATGAATGTGAGGCACATTAACTGGCTTTCCAAATAAATTTCTGTGACCAAGGTTTCTCATTTAAGTCTTGTAAGAAAAGAGGGCCTATTCCCCTTAAGTGTCCATAAAGCCTTAGTCTTCTGGTCTCTGAAAGGAATTTCTCATCATGAATTAACATGTTTATACTCTGGTTTTCTATTGTTTTGTTTTTGCAGTATCAGGGTTGGAACTCAGGACCTTGGGCTTGCAAGGCAGGAGCTGTACCACTGAGCTAAATCCCTGGCCAATTCTGGTTTTATATTGAATATAAGAAGTTCTGGGCTGAGAATGTAGCTCAATAATGGAGTACTTGCCCAGCATATATTAGGGCCTGAGTTTCATCCCCAGCACCACAAAACAAAAACAAAAACAAAGTATTGGGATAAGTGGGTAAGGCAGGTGCAATACATCCCAAGTCTAAAACTGAGAACTTCTGCAGCTCCCAAGTCTCTTGTTTCCAGTAACTCCTCACCACTGGACTACACGGCCCAGTATGTCGGAGCATGGAGCATGGACTCCCAGGCAGATATGGGGTCACCCTCAGCCCAGGCAATTAGCTTTCCTAGTCTCTCTTCCTCCATCTAGAAACATCTAGAAACAACCTAACATTCAACTTTAGGATCCCGCCTCAAGGGATCTATATATGGGCAGACCTCCCATATCTCTGCTGAGAGAAGTGATGGGTCAGCAGAGTTAAAGTAATGGAAGAGTCAAGAACAAAAACTTCATTTCAAAAACCCCAAGTCTGTCGATTTGTCATCAGGGCTTCACCAATATCTACATGTGGAGGAGATGCCGTCGGGGCCTAGCACGTCTCAATTCCACTGCAGAAGCCTCACGTTTATACTTCTGTTTTTTGAGACCGGCTCTCAATGTGTAGCCCAGGCTGGTCTGGAATCCCCCGTGATCCTCCTGTCTCAGCCTCCCAATGCTGGGATTACAGGCGTGTGTCACCATGCCCTGGTACATTCATATTTTTTGACTTGGGACCCGACGCACCACCCCAGGAGCTTTTCGAATTCGCAGGTCCCAGATCTCAACTCTCCCAGCCACCGAGGCTGCCGACGGAAGGCGGGGACACTGGCAAGCGACCTCCTTCGGTCCTACGTAGGCAGCGGGGACGCTGGACTCACGTTTCTCAATGAGAACGTCCTCGCAGTCCAGGCCGAAGATCTGCAACTCCTCCGCCAGCTGCTGGGTGGACACGGACATGGCGACCCAGAAGGGGCCGGGGCCTGGCCCGCCCAGCTCCGACCCGACCGTAGAAGCCCCGGGAGTGAGGTCGACGTGCAGAACGAGTTTCACCTTCTCCCTCCAGGGCCTGAGACTGGAAGGGCCCAAATGGCCTCAGGCTGTCAGGTCTAGCCGTCAGCTACAGAGAAACACCTACTTAAAAACAGAGTGGAAGCGTAGAAGCTTTCCGAACGGAAAGCGTAGAAATCTCGACAGGTTGTTCTCTGGGGTGGGGTGGGAGGGTGCTGTTTCCAAAAAGCTACCACCAGGCTTTTCCGTGAGGAGAGCGGAACCCAGCAGCCAGAGAAAAAAACCCGCCAAAGGGTTTGAGCGGCCTGCGCAGGCGCAAAACCTGGGTCAGCCCCACCCCCGCGCTCGGCTCCGCCCAGCCTGTTGCGGCTGCGCAACTCGCTCCCGATGCGCGTTTTGTTGCCAGTGTTTTCACGTTTTGGTCGCTGCGCTCGTTGTCCCTGCGTCCCGCCGTTTGCTTCTCTGTGGAGTTCGAGTTGCTTGTCTGCTTTGCCCTGCTCCTGGGTGCGGAGGCGCTGTCGTACACTTTGGGATGTCCGGAACTTAGCGTGACCGGCGCGGGACTGGACGGTCCCCATTTCTTTGTCCCTCTCGGCTTCCTGCCCTGTTGTGGCCTTGGTTCATCCTGACAGGTGGCTTCGGTAGGGAATCTGGTTGTCATGACTGCTTTCGTGATGATCGTCATGGTCCTAGCAACAAGGATGCTCTCTTTTCTGCTTCCGGAACATTTTTGTGGCTGTAGAGTACCAAAGTGACTAAAGATTTGATTTGGGAGCGGCACTATCGGGAGTTTTAAAAATGCCCCTCATTTTTTAAAAATAAATTTTATCCCACCCCACCCACGCAAGTCCCCTCCCCTCCCTATGTACAGAAGCTTTGTTTCCATTTTTCCTTCTATTTTCCCTTTTTTCTTGTCCCTTCCTTCCTTCCTTCCTCCCTCCTCCCTTGTTCCCCTTCCCATGTGAACACTCTCTTCCCGTTTCCCGAAATCCATTACACATCTCAGTCCTTATCTCCACTTTCAGTTTCTCACACCGGAGGAACAATGCGGTGTTTAATTTGCATTTCACAAATGACTAGTGATGCTGAACATTTTTTATATGTTCATTTGGCGTTTCTAATTTTTCATCTGAGAAGTGTCTTTATTTTAGATGCCCATTTTTGCATTGGGTCTTTAAATTTGGGGGATCTGATTTTTTTTGAGTTCTATATATTGTAGATAGTAGTACTTTATCTGAATAGCTGGTAAAAATGTTTTCCCACTCTGTGGGTTGTCTCTTCACTCTGTTGATGATTTCTCTTGCTATGCGAAAACTTTTTAATACCCTCATTCTTGACAGCATTTCCTATCCTCAGGAAACAATCCAAAATGCAGATTAAATTCTTTGTACAAAGATGTGCATTGTAGCTTCATTTATGATGTTGAAAAAGTTGGAAACATCCAGTGAAGGGATTGTTGACTATGAAATAAACAGGATCAACAGATGAATAAACAAAGCATGGTAAATATACTGTGGGATTTTGTTTAGCCATGAAGAAGGAATTCATGTCATTTGCAGGAAAATGGGTGAATCTTGAGTCCGTAATGTGAAGTGAAATAAGTCAGGCACAGAATGTCAAACAGGTTCTCTTATATGAGAAACCCAAAATAAAAGAGTAAACTAGCTGGGGATTTAACTCAGTGCTGCCACTGCCTGCCTCACAAGTGCAAGGTCCAGAGTTCAATTCCCAGTATCTATTAAAAAAAAAAAAAATCAAGAAATATAAAGCAATTTAAAAAGGTGAACTAAAGGAGAGCCTTCTCTCTTTTTTTTTTTTTTTTTTTTTTTTT